TACCATACGTCAGCCTGGCTTAGGGATGAACGTGAACGGTACACTAGTACAGACCCAGCCTTCACAGCCAAATGAACTTCTTTCAGGTGGATTGAGTCGAGGGCATTCGTTGGCACCATCTCCTTTTGAAGCGGAGTAAGTGACTTTAAATACTGGCGCGTGTATGCGCGCCGGTTCTTGTGTTTTCCTGTACTCTATTTTCACGGTTGGTTTCGGCTCACCACGACCGTCGTACTGTATTAATAGTGACCATATACCATATCAGAGCTGCATGGTATCTATCGCGTCTTCGAAGTCGCGTATAGATGAACGATTAGGGTTGTTGCCCAAGGTGGCGGTGGGATCACTGAATAAGCGTCTGCTGTCGACTAACGGCAGTACCTGGCGCGTTTCCGCTCGGCAAACCTCTGTATAAAGCTCCACAAGGGTCTAGTTATCCATCACTAATACTGTCGTCACCTGCTGTTCCGCTTCATCAACCAGACATGAATTTACGGTGGAAGCGAATCAATTAAACTACTAGCCACCGGCCTATAATTGAATGTGCAAAAGGATAGGCATACAACGTGAAACAAACAAACCGGCTGTGCTGGGGACAACAGTTGTAGCTCTATAGATCATTGTGGTGTGTAAAGCTGGTTTTTCTCAACCAAGAGAAAGTTCCATGGTGTTGTTTGCCGGGCGGAATACTGCTGGGTTGCCTAGGCCAAGACAGGTGAATTTTCTTAGGGGAACCACAATTGGAACCTTTGACTAGTCAAAATGAACTTTCTTCAATACCTCAACCTCTACTATGTGTGTGTGAATGCAAGCGGCGGTTAGCGTATCTGTCCGACGGTTTGCTTAGGTTAAAAAATAATTCACTGGTTTCGTCTTCTTCAGTCAATTGGATTGAATTTCCTCATTTCCCTATTCAATACTTTACCGAATAAATTTCATTTGCCCACTGAGCAGTAGTAATGATATTATTTTAAAAAAAACGTTGATTGCCTCATTTCATGGTTTCATGGAAGGCAGAAAATACGGAATTTTGTCATAAAGCAAAGGTCATGTGACCTCATCTGAATTGCGGTACTGTCTAATCACTTTGTCGTATCCCCACTGATTATCGTCTCCTCCTCTCTTTCTCTCTCTCTCGTTCCTTCCCGCATAACCGTTTGACGCTTAGGTCCATCTTCTCGGGCTCGCATTCACTAACCGGTCGTCCATCTCAACCTCAGGCACCAAGAAATCTTCCTCACGGGGTAAGCTGACCAATTCCCTTGCCATCCACCGAGTATTGTCTGTGAATTTTCCGAATTCAGTACGGCTTCGTTTGTTTTCCGTTTTATCAACCCCCCACCCCCGCCCTTCTATCACATTGGTGTGTAACATTTCAACCATTTACCACACACTGTACCGTTGCCCAGTCCAGGTATCCTCACAACACAATATGTTACTTGAATCGATTGATCGGTTAGTCGATCAAACAGCTTGTTTTACTGTGCAACTTCGCAACACAGTGTGTATTTGAAAACATGGTGACAGAATACCTCCAGTCCAAACTAACTCACTCCGTCACTATCTAAACCTAGATACTAATGAGTATATGAGTATAATGAGTATGTTAAGGACCGTAAAGTTCCTGCAAATCTGAAAACTAATTTTAGCGAGTTATTGGTAGTTTATCATTTTAATTTTTTTATTCAATTCGTCCACAATTGGTGTGGGGTTTTTTAATTGCGCACCTGACAAGTGCACTCTGTTTTAGTGACGCTTTGCTGCACGCAACGTGGCTGCAGCACTCCCAATTCCCCAGACCATTATTTTGGGGCCTGAAAAATCCGTTAAAGATGAATTGTGTGGAGCTCATTTTCTACCGGAATAAAATCACCGATCTCTGTCTTCTACGGATCAGGTTTGCTGTGCTTTCCGTTCATAGATTTTGTGCACTGTATCAGCTATCGTGTTCGTTCCGGCATGTGCAATACTGTTCCACTTTCGGTACAAAACATACGTGCATAAAATTATTGTGTTCCATGTTCCCCGTTTCCCCAAGTGAAAACTATACACCATCCCACGATTGATTGTCTACAACTCTATAGGAAATTAACCGTTCCTCATGCGCTGTAATGAGGATAACTTCGTTTCCAGTATAGGAGGCGTGGAATGTGATTACTCAAAGGTATGTAGGAGAGCGTTTCGGAAGCGTTACCGAGGTGAAAACCTACGAATTGCCTCTGTATCGATTGTTTTATACGGGGAATCACGTTACTTGGATGTGCATGTGATGGTGCGATCTGGTGTGTGTGTGTGTGTGTGTGTGTGTGTGTGTGTTACCTTGGGATGTTCCGAATCTATGCATCCTCACATTCAAGGGCAAGCATTGTGCCGCTATTTGGAAGTAATAATAACGTGGATGGTATTCACCTCTTGTTCTGTTCTGACATCGCTTACACAGATCAAATTCTGTGATGGACTCGAAAAATCGTTTCCTCTCTTCGGAACCTCTCTACCCGTAGAATGGTTGGCGATCGATATTTCATCGAATAGTATATACTCACTCAAGTCAAAATGAATATAGTCGAGGCTTACTTCCCCCATACATTCCAATGCCCAATTATTCAATCAATGGTGATCGTTGTCTGTACGGTTGGTCATTCGTACGTGAATGTTGCTTGCTATCTGAACCCGCACTGAAATACTTTCTACTATAATGTCACTTCTTCAGACGAGATTTGCGATAGTTTTGGGAGCTGGAGTACTGAAAATAATCGGTGAAATGCAACTTGTGCAACAGTTTCTTGCCAGTTCACAATACGAATTTGAAGCTTGACTTTCGTCGCTCTACATATTTTGTACCTGTTTGAAATGATTTGTTTTATGTTACCTAACCGAGACAATTACGATTATCTAATAACGTTTATGATACTTTTTCTCCCTTTCTGTGGGCAGCTTACCGCGAACTACACAGACCTA